CTTCTTTAACTTTGTCCTTGAGGGATCACCAAGCACCCATTTGGATATCTAGTACATACATGCTTTATGTTTTACTAACATCTAACCAAAATATAAAAAAATATGTTGTGTTTATCTTTGTTTACTATGCAAGGACAAGCGTGAGCCAAGTGGATTAAACAATTGCCCTCAACTAGGGTTTTCATATGAGCAAAGTTAAAGTATTATCAACATTTACCTTCAAAGACTTGTGCATTAGGGATTGGCCTATAATTTTAAGTCATGTCATTTTCAAACATCACTCAGTCTCAATTGATCAAGGATTCCCCAAGGAATGATTTCTTTTTCCTCAAGGACGGTTCAAAGGTTCATGGGTTTATTTATATGCCTTCTTAATCAACTAACCTCAAGTGTGTCCATGTTTAATCAAAGATCAATCAATGCTTCATCGGTTTAGTCATATGAGCTTCATAATACCTTGGATTGCAAGAAAAGATCAAAAGTATCAAAGCTATGCAAAGTGGTTTGACCTAATTTGGCAAGTTTTCAAGTTAAAATTCACAAGACCAAAAATCCTTCATTATTCAACATTTTTGGATGTTTCTTTTTGCATATGACTCTCCTTGATGTTCTCTCCAACTTCTCTTTACAAGTCAAGAGCTAATTATGTGAATAAAGTCATCAAAAGTTTTAAGTAGGGGTGTTTACGGGTTGATTTGGTTTGATTTTGAGAGAATCTGATACTTGAACCAATGAAAGAAAAATGGATTGGTTTGGATTGGATTTCTATATTTTAGTAATAAAGCTCAAGCCAAACCGATATGAAAAAACAACAAATTGGTTTAAATTGGATTGATCGGGTATATTAAAAATAAATATACAAAAAAAATTAATTATTTATTTACACACTAAAATATGAAAAATAAATATTAAACACATGCACACATATCTTTAAACAATTTATGACCACCACCATGATCATATAATTGTTGTATTTCAGTTAATATTTAATAATGTTTGTCATGTATGGTATCATTGATTGATATGGTTGGTTCTGATAATATTATATGATCATATGATAGTTTCTGACCTATGGTGATTTTATTTTGTTTTTATTTTCAACTTTACTATTTTTCATACTTATTTATCTTCTTTCTTGATTTTTAATAATTTAAAACTAGTTTCTGATTTTCAAAAATTATGAATAATTTTATATAAATACTTTGAGGCATTTCTTGTTTTTCTATGTCTCTGGATGCAATTTGTTTGAATGTTTGATGTAGCTTATTATTTTCTCCTTTTATTTTCATTTTAAACATATTTTAAAAAATCTTTTTATTACTATATTTTGTCTATTAATTGCAATTATAATTTTGTATATTCTAGTTGGCTTGGATCTTGATTATTGAGGCCATGGATTTCATCAACATCAATGGAACTTGGGTGTTGATAGGTTGAGAGACCAAATCCACCAAAATAGATGATTGATGTTGATGAAATTAGACCAAGTTCTTAATCCAATTTTATTGTTCAAGTTACTTCTACCTTCAAGTCTTTCTTCTTCTTTTTTCCTTTCTTTTTTGATCAATTGGACGATTGATGATTCATCTTGTACAATTGAATATAGATCGGCACTTGATGAACTTTCATCATTTCAAATCTACCTATAAGTGATCAATTGATCACACAAGATACTTTAGATTGATGATAAGTTTATCCTAAGGTATTATAAAGGATCTGATAGATGTAATGATCTCATATCCTTGACTTATGTCTTAATCATCTTTGCTTTTTAAACCATGGTGTGAATTATATGCAATACACCTACATTATTTTGGCTCGGCCTCAGATAGGTGAAACTTCTATATAAGTTCACTTACGGTTGCTTAACATAGCGTCAAATTATCCTGAATCAGAAAACTAACTAATAACAATAACTAATAATTATGCTAACATTTGATTTTTCGCACCTTTACTTTTCCGTCATTTTAATTTCCCGCAATATAATTTATGTCATTTAATTTTAGCATCTTTATCATTCTTTTCATTTATCTTTTTACTATTTACTTTATGTCATTTTCTTTTTGCTCACTTGAGCATTTTACTTTTATGTTATTTCTCCTTTGCTCATTTGAACATTTTATTTTATTTCTATTTTTCTCTTTGCTCACTTGAGCTTCCTTTTTCTTTAATGACATTAATAACCAACTTGAGGCTCTCTTTGGACTATGGTTACTATCCCCTTGCATCTTGGAGTATTTGGAATTTTTGAACCTTAGGATAGAACCTTGGGACTTTTAGACCTTTGGACCTTGAGACCTTGTTGTTATTTTTGTCTGTATTGGGAACTTTTTTGTGTGCATGTGTTACTTTGAAAATCATCGGATGCAAGAATTATTCATCTAATACATGTCAATTTATATGTGCTTTTTGAGATTCATCTGATGCTAAGCTTACACCCGAGGCATGACTATTCTTCATCTGATGCTTATTACTTGGTTGTGTGGCTTTAATCCAAAGGAATGAGATGCACTATTTGACTTTTGTCAAGATGATTGCTCTTGTTTGGTTAGATATTTCCTACCTTAGCTTTTACTTTATGCTTTAGGATAGTTCCTTAATCTCTTGCCCATCTTCTTCAATTTTTCAAATCTTCTCCCTCCTTCTCAAAACCTTCTTTGTTTTAAACTTAAACCACTTTCAATAAAAACTTTGACTTTGTCAAGTTCATTTTCAAAACTTTTTTCTTAATTAAATCTTAATCCATTTAATAAAAGTTTAACCTTTTTCTTCTAAGACAAAAACACAAAACCTCACTTCAAACTTTTTGCCACTTTTGGCTTTTGTTTTAAAAAAATTCTTAAAAATTAGATGTGAGTCATCTCTATGGTTGAGATATGATTATCCCACGTTCATAACCTTGGTTGATATGATGTTGAATCTTTTCCACTTGAAGGGGTTAGTGGAAAACATGTTGAATTATCCAGGTTGGAGCCCTCCTTCCACTTGTGATGCAAATTTTCATCATTCTCATGTTTATGGATATTTGGTTGAGTACTCTCCTTAAGATGACAAAATATATCTTCATTTAAAACCAACCAACAAGTAGAGATTTGTTCTTTTTTAGAAGAACTACGTGATTCTGATTTCATCATTGCACATTGGTGATACGTAGGCTCGGGTCTTATTTAAGTCTTGTCGATAAAAACCGTAAAAGCCATTTCTTTTCTCATCTCCACAATCTTCTTTAAAACAACTCTTCTTATCCATATACCCAGATTTTCAAAGAGGTTCTTGCAGAGTACCATAGATGTTTAGGGTGCTAATACCTTCTCTTTGCATAACCAACCCCCGTACCTAGATATTTGTTTTATTAGCTTTGTTTTAAAAACTTATTTGGGTTTTATCCCTCTTTTCTCATTCATTTGGAAACAATAAAGTACGGTGGCGACTTTCACTTTGTGAGTTAAGTTAATCAATAGCTTAATCTCAACTTTTCACTGCTACACAAAGGTTTTTGACTTAACCTTTTTGTTGTAGGCTTTGGCTATTCGTTCCTCCTGTCTTATAAGAACTTCGAAAGCAACTAACCTCTTTTTCATCTAATTCGACCAACTCATCTAACATCATATTTTAATAATGATCAGATGGAATCTCGACTTGCCTTTGGACTCTAACTGATTGTAAGTCAATATTAACAGGTAGTACTTCGTCATGACCAAATGTTAGTCGAAAAGGAGTAGAATTAGTTGATTCTCTAGTATACGTTAAACAAGCCCAAAGTGCTTGGTCCAAAGTCATATGACAATTATTTGGCTTCTGACCTACATGTCTTTTGATTAGGCTTATGATAATCTTATTGTCCACTTCGACTTGGCCGTTTGCCTGAGCAAAGTAAGGCGTATCAGTTAAGAGTTTGACCTTAGACTCTGAGGAAAAATCAACCATCTTGCAAACTATAAACATTGGGCCTTGATCAGTAGTTAAGGTCTCAGGAATTCCAAATCTATATATAATGTGATTTTGAATCAAATCAATCACTGTTTCTTTATCAATCTTGATTAATGGAACAACTTCAACCCATTTAGTAAAATAGTCTATACCAACCAAAATATACCTATGGTTTTTGGATGATGCATGTCATATTTCTACAATTGAATCTAATTCCCAACCTCTAAATGGACAAGGTTTTGCAAACGAATGTAGTTCACTAGCAAGAACATGTTGTATACCTGCATGTTTTTTACATTCTTGGTAGCCTTTGGCCAATTCTATGAAATATTTCAACATAGTCGGCTAATATAACCCTTGTCAAATAAAACCATTTCATCTTGTGACCATCTTGGTGAGCTTCACATGACCCGCTAAGGGCATTTAAAATTGGCAAGTGAGTGTGTGTGCGTGCGTGCGTGCGTGTGTATTTCAAAAATACATTTTCGATTCCTTCCCGTAAATGTGTCTCCAAAATTAACTCCCTTGACTTGAAGGCCCATCAGTGTTAGTCTTAACTCACTAGCCAATTGGAGGCTCCCAAAGAACTTTATTTTATTAGAGGGGCTCAAGGATGATAGACCTCGACATCAAACAACTTGAGGATCTTGAAGTCACACATGGATGAATAGCCACTTCCTCATTTGTGTTGGAGTCTAACCCCACTTTTGTAATTAGTTTTCCTTTTATAATAGTCTGATTTTGAAAAAAAATACTCATCACAAAAAATTAAATAATATATCTTTCATCAATCATATCATAACATTTAATTTTATCATATTTAATTATTTACTAAATAATATATTTTTTGATTATTTTTAAAATATTTTACTCCGAGAATAATTCTATCTAATTTTTTGTGTTAGATAGATAAAAATTAAAAAATAAATAAATAACAGAATGATCATTTCTTTATAAATATGATAATGGAATTCCCATTAATTAAACACAATAACGTTCTCAAAGACTGAACAAACAATGGATTAAACACAATAACTTACTCAAAGACTAGAACAATGTATTAAACACAGTCACACTGAAACTGAATTCATGAACTCTTCATCTGATTCCAGGGCCATCATTTTGTCCGGTGAAAGACACACTTCAAGATCTATGCTCCCCCCTCCTTCTCGTCCTGGATACGATGTTATTTTTCCATCAAATTTGTTTCCATAACCACTTCTAACTGCCAATGCTTTTCCCATTCCAAATTCATTCCCATACATATTAAACCTCGGTGAACTACCCATCATAACAGTATTTGGATCAAAGAACAGATCCATTCGATACACATAAGGAGAATGTAACCACTCTTCTACAGATCCCCGCACCACTTTGTTATCATGATTTGCAACAGCCACATGAATCTTCCAAGCTGCCCATCCTATATTATTTTCCAACAATTCCCTTACAGTTGTTTCAGTACTCAATGTATGAATTGAATTCCCGAAATATTCCTTAGGAAGTGGCGGTTCCATTCTCGTTCGGTTGTTTATAGCCAATTTGCATGTTGTTGTCTGGTCATGTTGTAGTTGTCGAGCGCGAGTTATAGATCTCCAAACTAGTGCTGATAGTGATTGGAAAGAAGAGATTTTCGTTGTCTTAAACTCTTTGTTTGCCTTTGCTTTAAGCTTTGCTATAGACTCTGCTGAAAAATGGAAGAATCTCTCTTTCAAAATGGGTGCTTCATATGTGTGAATAAACTCGTCGTGATGTTTGAAAGGAAGGTTGATAATTGGACCATAACCTTCTGGAGACCATCTATTGTGGATGGGTTGGTATGAAATTGAAAGAGGATTAGTATTATTGACATTTTGAAATGTTTCAGAAAGTGCGTTAAAGAAATTCCAATAAGCAGTTCCATCACCAAGAGAGTGGTTCACGGAACAAGCTATGAAAACACCGTCCAATAATTCAGTGACTTGGATAGACAACAAAGACATGGTGTGACCATCATGGTTGACGGCTTTGTGGTGGTCAAAGAACGAATGAACAATGGGTGGGACATCAATGGGGGTGAGGATATCATTTATGGTTATATCTAACGTGACATGGATAAATTTAGCTCCAGGACTGTTTTTGCAATCGACAAAAACAGTGTAAGTAGGAGGAACTAGAGTTTTATGCGTAACAAGACGACCTGAGAGAGGATAGAAATGGGAAAGTGTTAGAGAAAGAGAGTGTTTGAGCTTGTTGATGAAATGTTGTAGGTTTTGTGATGTTGTTGGTTTTTTGAAGAGAAGACCCTTTTGGATATAGTTTACAGATAACATGCGAATGTCCCAAGGTGATAAATACCATATTTGGTTTGAGTCTTGGATTGGGGGATGTGGTTTGATGAAACATGCAGAAACATGTTTTAGGGAAGGGATGCTCATCTTTCGGATGTATGTTTCTTGCACAGAGGGAGCTACTCTCTTTTGAAGACATAAACATGAATATTTATAGACAGCTAGTATTGGTGGAAGACTCAAAGGTGTAATTTTTAAAAATTATTAAGATGAAATAGGAAATAATCGAACATTTGAAAATTCAACTTTAATTTGTAACGTGTAACTAGTTCATGCAGACAACGTTTGTGTTGGAATATGTCTATGTTCCGATATGTTGAATTTAAAAATTTTCTTAAGTCCTACATTATTAGAATATCTTTTTGGTTGAAAAAACCATTTAGTCTCACATTGTTCATGTGAGAAATATTAACTACCTTACTTCACTATATAAGGAGTGCACATGTTTCATTCCAAATCACACCAAAAACTATTCTATTAGTTTTTCCCTTTCTCACTCTCTTAACTCTGCATCTCTCGAATTGTTGAAGCGCCATCTTCTTCCTCTTTCTTCCTACTCGTTGAATTTTCTGAGTATTTTCTTGAATTCTCTTTAGAGAATTATGTTAATTTCTCCTCATTTGAGTTGAGAAATTTTCAAATTTAATCTTTTTGATTCTCTTTGGAGAATTATTTGAATTTCTCTTTGTTGAAGAAATTATTATGAGTGGTCAAATGACCATTATTAATTTCTCTTTGGAGAATTATTTGAGTTTCTTTTTGTTTGAGAAATTATTATGATCGGTCTTTGTACCAGATACTACGAGTGGTGTTGATACCATATTTGAATGGTCTTGTATAATCAGAGGGTGTATTTTTATACCAATTATCTATCATGCAAATAGTAATTGTACAATATAGAATTGGATTGTTTTATCTTGGAGGCGGCGCGGTAGTTCGACTGCTTTGCACATAATTTTGAGCAGTGCTGTAAAACGCCTTAAAGAGAGCGACCTAGTCCGCGACTCAACCTAGTAATTTCTTCGGTGGCAAATATTTTAAAATCCGAAAATAGTAATTTTAAGACGTTTCAAACTGCCATGGCTACCGAAGAAATTATTGGTTCTTTTGCGGATATTGTCTTTGAGAAATCGTTCATGTTTGAGAGAAGTCACTTCAAATGTTGGCAACAAAAGATGAAGTTCTTAACATTGAAAAAACTGTTGCTAACGTTCTGATCGATGACATGTTGTTGCTCCTTCTGGTTCAATCGAATAAACTAACGGTAGTAAATCTGGAGATTTAGAAGGAACACTTAATAGTGTTGAAGTTGAATCTGCTGCACAGATTAAAGCGAATGATTTACAGCATAGTAAAGAAATCACCTTATAGAAAGAGAATGAAAATCTCTACAAAATCATATTTTGAATAGACTCGCAGATGATCTGTATGATAATTACAGTTGATGTGATACTGCAAAACAAAATTGAGAGAATCAGAAAAATAAGTATGACGTAGAAGCTGGAGAAAAGAAGTATGTTGTTAGCCGTTACTTCAAGTATCAAATGCAAAGATGTAAGGTCGATGGAGACTCAATGTTACGAACTTCAAAAGATTGCTTAAAAGATCATCACAAAAGATATGTGTTTAAATGAACAATTTCAAATTGGTTTTATTATTGACAAACTACCACATAGTTTGAATGTTTAAAAAAAACAAAAAGGGAATCTTAGAGACTATAAAAAAGAAAAGTCTTGGTTGTTTCAAACAACAAAAAGAAATTTGGTGTAGTTCTGAAGCCATTTGGCAAATGATTAAAGAATCAGAACCGCGATATTGTGAACCGAATTAAGAATGGGAATTCTTCTATCATCCCAATAGCTCCAACTAGGCAACAACCACCACCTAAAAGAAATGACGTTGGTTTCCCTTTGTTTTAACCATGGAAAATCAAGTTATATGACTAAGAAATGTAGAAGTAAGCTTGAACTTGGTGTTGTCCCTAATGCACAGGTCAACCTGACTAATGGGCAATTTATTGATATGGTCATTGAAATCAACATGGTTGATGGATATGTTGATTGGTGGATAGACACATGTGTCTCTCGTTGTGTCTGTTATGGTCGTGTTATGTTTAAACATACACGAATACTAAAGATAAGAAAGTGTTGTTGGGAGATGGCCAGACCACGAATGTTGCTGGAATTGTAGACATGGAGCTAATTTTCACCTTCAAAAAGACTTTAATCTTAAAGAACGTTATGCATGTTACTAAGATTAGAAAGAATATTATTTTTGGTTTTCTTTTAAATAAGACATGGTTTAGTCAGTCTATTGGGGTAGATTTGTACGCCATTACGAAGAGTGAAGTTTATATGTTTAAAATTTTTGTAAAGAATTTGAAAATGATATAATAAGAATTTATAGTGATAGATAAACTGTATGATTCTAGTTTATTAATGAATTTTATACATGGAATTATACATGAAACAAATGCACCATACTATCTTGCAATGAATGGTAAAACAGAAAGAAATAATGGAACTCTTACTGAACTTGTTGTTGCAATTATGATGAATTCTGGTGCTGCACCTCACCGGTGGGGGGAAATTTTATTGATTGTTTGCTATGTCCTGAATAGAGTCCCCAAGTCAAAATGTAAGATCTCTCCTTATGAGATATTAAAGAAAAGACAACCAAACTTGTCTTATTTGAGAACTTGGGGTTGTCTGACTTATGTCATAATTCTGGATCCGAAACGAGTTAAACTCGCTAGTAAAGCATATGAATGTGTTTTCATTCGGTATGCAGCAAACAGTAAAGCATATAGGTTTTATGACCTAAAGGCAAAAGTGATCATAGAATCAACTAATGTTGAATTCTATGAAGACAAATTTCCTTTCAAATTGAGAAATAGTGGGGGCACACAATCGAGTCACATTCCTGTGATAAGAAGCACAAAAAGAAACGACAATGTAGAAACATAACTTCGACGAAGTAAACGAGTAAGAGTTGCTAAAGACTATATGCCTGATTATGCGGCTTATAATGTAGAAGAAGATCCAATGAATCTTCAAGAAGCCTTGTCATCTCTGGATGTTTAGTTATTGCAAGAAGCTATCAATGATGAGATATAATCTCTAGAATCTAACAAGACTTGACACTTATTAGACTTGCCTCCTGTTTGCAAACCAATCGGTTGTAAATGAGTTTTGAAAAAGAAACTAAAACCTGATGGAACTATTGATAAATACAAGGTTCGCCTTGTTGCCAAGGGTTTTAGACAAAGAGAAAATATAGATTTCTTCGACACCTTTTCTCCTGTCACTAGAATTACATCCATTAGGGTACTTATTTCAATAGCTGCTATTTATAACTTAATAGTACACCAAATGGATGTTAAAATAACTTTTTTAAACGGTGACTTAGAAGAAGAAATCTATATGAAATAACCGGAAGGGTTTGTGATCTATGGATAAGAAATCAAGGTCTGTAAGTTAGATAACTCTTTGTGTGGGCTAAAACAAGCTCCAAAGCAATGGCATATAAAGTTTGATAACTCAATGATATCAAATATGTACAAAGTGAATGAAAGTGACAAATAAGTTTATTACAAATTTGAGAATTGTATTTGCACTATCATATGTCTATATGTAGACGATCTATTCATATTTGGATCAAACACTTAGGCCATTAATGATATGAAATCATTGTTGTGCAACAACTTTGATATGAAAGATCTCGGAGAAGTGAGTGTGATTCTTGGTATCAAGATCACAAAATCCGAGCAAGGAATTTATTTGGATCAATCAAAATATGTGAAAAAGATCTTAAATAAATATAATTACTTTGATAGTAAACATGTGAGCACACCAAATGATCCAAGCGTGAAGCTGTTTAAGAACACTGGTGAAAGTGTTAGACAAACAGAACATGCGAGCACCATTGGAAGTCTTAGGTATTCCATTGATTGTACTAAACCTGACATTGCGTATGTCGTGGGATTGTTGTGCGGGTTTACTAGTAGACCGAGTAATGAACATTGGCAAGCTATTGAGCGAGTCATACAGTACCTTAAAAGGACCACGAATCTCAGTTTATATTATCAGAGATCTCCTATTGTACCTGAAGGGTACAATGATGCAGATTGAAATACCTTATCAGATGATTCTAAAGAAACTAGTGGCTATGTATTCAACATAGCTAGAGGAGTTGTATCTTGGAAATCAAAGAAACATATTATCCTGAGAATATAGCATTAGTGACTGCTAGTGAAGAAGCAAGTTGGTTAAGATGCTTGCTAACTGAGATTCCCTTATGGGAAAAACATATGTCAGTTGTGTTGATCCATTGCGATAGTACCGCGGCTATTGCAAAAATTGAGAACCGTTATTATAATGGTAAAAGATGTCAAATAAGAAGAAAGCACAGCATTGTTAGAGATTGTATCTCTAAAGGAGCTGTAAGAGTGGATCATGTACGCACTGATGAAAATTTAGCAGATCCTTTGACAAAAGGATTAGCTAGAGAGAAAGTCTATAATACATCATATAAGATGGGACTAATGCCTATAGGAAAATGAGTTGCTCATGATGGTAACCCGACCTAAATGACTGGAGATCCCAAGAAATAGGTTCAATGGGTAATAACAAGTTGTGAGTAATATGAGATGATCATGCAAGTAAAGCATGAATCCTGAAGTAATAAGAGGATGAGATAATAGAAACTCTTAATGAGATCTATACTCTATATGAGGGAGTACCTAGGCTACAAGAGTACTCTTGATAGACTCGCATATGTGATTGTGGAACTTAGGCCGGTTCCTATGGAATTTCGAGACAGAATTCCTAGAGCCTTCATTAAACTGGGATACACGTGCATGGCCATTAAAGCATGGGCTATTAGAATACACCTTAAGAAAATGTTGTGTACGGGTTTGATGTCTGAGATAGAGTTCAAGACATTTGTGTCACTCTTGTTGAATTGGAATCCTACTTGCTATGTAAAGGTTCAAGTCGTAGATACCTTTGTTTATGCACAATCTTAGAAACGTTTGACGTTACTTCTAAAATTAATTTTTTAAATTCAAGTGGGGGATTGTTGGAACA